GGCTGCTTAAACAGAGCGTAAGCGGCTCACGCAGTGGCTGGGGGGGTGGGGGCCTTTATCAGTTAATGGATGATAATTTGAGAAACAGTGCCACTAGCTGAGGACGCCATATCAGCAGATGAACCACCAGTTATGAGTCTGAACTATGCCATTCTAGCAACTCTCTAAGTTGGTCACACTTTTATTTTAAGTTGCACAATGTCTCTGCGTTTCAGAATAACAATATTAATTTTAGTTGATCACTGTACCAAAGATTACAAAATGGCGAACACACGATACAGCCGTTAAGACTGTCAACAAATTCAAAACCGAAATCACTTAGATTTCGGACACAATGATTATCCGCCAAGCTGCTGATGACAGCAGGTTTTGAGGCCTGCCTTAATAATTAGGTACGTCGGACGACCATAACTATTAGCTGTAACATAAACAGCCGTGTTACAGCTATTATTTAAAACACTATATAGTGTAGAGTTCTATTTGTTTTCTATCAGATGACAACGAACGTCTCACCAACACCAGATCTGCACGGCTGCGTTAGCAGCTTAGCTAGAGAGCGAGCTAATGCTACCTGAGCTAACACCTGACGTTGGCTAGCAAGAATTTCCGCCAATAATAAGTTTTAACTTACTTGTACCGCGCGGCTCAATAATGTACCGGCGTCTGCGGCTAACCGCTTAACATTGAAGTCCATAGCGGGAAAAAATAAACACTTAACACAAAAATAGCTTGTCCCACGATCAAACTACCATCCCTACAAATTCTTCGTCTTCTTCCTCTTATACTTAATGGCAGTTGGCAAACAACTTTAGGTGTATTACCGCCACCTGCTGAGCTGAAGTGTGAATCAGAAAGGCCCCTATCTACTGCTACTACATTCTTACTCAATTTATGCTATATTAATTTACCCAGTTCGGTACCTTCTAAAAACCTAAAGACTGCTCTGTACCCTACATTCACTGAACTCTTTTGTAACAACTCTTTTAAATTTAATCCCATACCATTACTTTGAAGTGTATTTTGGAATAACTCCTTTTCCTGTCTGAAACTTGAACAACTCAAAAAAGCGCCACTGTTTTCTGTACCTTACAACACTCACATTCACCAGTATTATACTTCTTCAACTACTCAATATACCATTAAGACCATATCTCATTCTTGAAATGGTCTTCTTCTTTCCTGTTCCTATTACTTCCTCTCATTTCTCCCACTTCCCTTTGAAGACTGTAATAGTACTGACCCTTGCTTTCATTGTCCCATATTTCTGGCCAATTCCTTTTCAACTTTAAACTTTGAATCTCAACCTTGCTATAGTTTACTGCTACACAAACATCTCTTTTTTAAGTGCAGCTTTTGCATATTTATTTGCCAGTTTATTTCCCTCCATCCCATTATGTGTAGGAATCGATATTAAACTAACATCTATTTGTACCCTCTTACATCTGAATATCATAAAAGCTATTTCAATATTTACTGTATGCCCTGCCTTGACTCTGACTGAATATATCCAATACCCTTTAAAGAGCTGTTTGACTCTGATCCAATTGGGACTTTTAGTGGTTTTTCTTCTACCCATTCTAATGCTAGTAAAATAGCTATTAATTCTCCTATATATACTGAGAGATGATCACTGATTCATTTATTTGACATATTTTATTCTGGTATAATAAACACTGCTTTACCATTCACTGTCTTAGATGTGTCCATATATACAGTATTTAACAAGTCCTGTATAAGTTCTAATTACGTCACTTTTTCGTATACTTTCCTTTTGCTCCCTTTCTAGAAAGTTCATGTTAATCTTTACTTCCTCAAACATCCAAGGTGCGATCACAGATAATGGAACAGTAGGACTTATCCTTTGGTCCTCCAGTCCTGTCTCATTGATTCTACTTTCTATCATTCATCCATAACTTCCCCTTTTCATGACAACTGACTGTGTGACTGTGTTTCAGTGGGTAGAGCAGTCATCTCCCAACCGGAGAGTTGGAGGTTCGAATCTTGATGTCTGCAGTTCACATGTCGAAGTGTCCTCGGGCAAGACACTGAACCCCCAAGTTGCCCCCCAATGGTTAGAGCCATTGGTGTGAGTTGGCGTGGCGCCACAGATGGCTGCCTCGGTTCTGTACCAGAAACAAATTCCTTGTGTGTAACATACTTGGCCAAATAAAGGTGATCATCCTTTCCAGCACTCTATGAGTGGAATGATTAACTTTATGCCCCTTTAAGGTGGCCCAATACAGGTATGTGCCAAAAAATTAGAATATCAAGGAAAAGTCCATTTATTTCAAAAAGTGAAACTTGTATGTTATATTAGTTCACTACACACAAAGTGAAATATTTCACGCCTTTATTTGTTTCAATTTTGATGATTATGGATTAAAGACAAAAAAAACCCAAATCCAGTATTTCACAAAATTAGAATATCATGACAAAGTTCAACATTGTAGGCTCCCTGTGTCCCAATCTAGTCAGCTAATTAATGCAAAACACCTGCAAAGGTTTCCTCAGCCTTGAAATTGTCTCAGTCTGGCTTAGTAGGCTTCAGAATCATGGGGAAGACTGCTGACTTGACGGTTGTGCAGACGACCATCATTGACACCCTCCATAAGGAGGAAAAGTCTCAAAAGGCAATTGCAAAAGAAGCTGGATGCTCACAGAGCGCAGTATCAAAGTATATTAACAGAGTGTTAAGAAGAAGGGAAGAATGTGGCCGGAAAAGGTGCAAAAGTGACAGGGATGACCGCAGCCTTGAGAGGATTGTCAAGCAAGGGCGATTCAGAAATCTGGGGGAGCTCCATAAGGAGTGGACTGAGGCTGGTGTCAGTGCATCAAGAACCACCACATACAGACGTCTGCATAACATGGGCTACAGCTGTAGAATCCCATGCGTCAAGCCACTCCTGAACCAAAAACAACGTCAGAAGCGTCTGTGCTGGGCTAAGGAGAAACAGTACTGGTCTATTGCCCAGTGGTCCCAAGTCCTGTTTTCAGATGAAAGCATATTCTGCATTTCATTTGGAAATCAAGGTCCCAGAGTCTGGAGGAAGACC